CCGCTAATTATTATCCCAAGCTATATTTATTATAACCATATATATAATAGTAGCAATAATAGTATTACACCATTTACTTTAAGTATGTACATACTGCAGCTGAGTTTGTAGATATTGCACTATTGTAATTATAAAATTATCTTCTCTATATCATTTTTAGTATAGGTACGGAAATATTGAACTAAAATTCCTTGTGAAACGTGCAATATAAATTAGAAAATATACTACACAATTACATCCTAAGAAAATTTGACTAACGAAAACAGATTTCATTGCATTAATGCAATATGCTCAAACCCCGCTAATAATATAATTATCATAAAACAACACATTCCTACAATTCAATTCAAACATTCATTATGCTTAATCATCCCTATATGGCACATGATGTATAGACAAAAGCCACACTGAGCCAATAGTTTTTCAAGTTGCTTTTATTATGCAATAATCGTCCATATTAATTTTGTGTGTGTTCTTTCTTTACTTGTTCGGAATTCACAAAAACACGCTATAATCTACAATGGCACGTTACAAAAAACATTTTTACTATACAGGGTGTAGTTTTTATTTTACGTATAAATGTAATTCTTTTGCTAATATTATAGCAGGCTCAGCATGGCTCATTTGAAACAAAATCTTACACGTATAGAATTACGTAGAATATAATAAGTATATAAAAATTGAGAATCAGAATTCATAAAGTANAATATCAGTTTTACAGATAAAACGTAATAAAGTATAAAAAACCTCATATACCTTTAATTAACAACTGTATCAATCAAATTAAAAATAAACTAACTACAGTTATTCTAAATGAAATTTAATTTTTAGTTAAGTATAAAAATGTTCCTTAAATTACTTTTTTTGCAGAACTTGATAGAGTTACAACTCAAAAGTTGTATTTATGTGTTAATTGGAATGAAAACGAGTAATTACGTCAAATTATAACAGTTATTATTTCTGCTTATAAATGAAGTTAATTAAATCACAGTGTTTTATATAAAATAGCCTCTACTTATTAAATATTAGTTTAAATTTACAAGGTGACTCTTATTTGTAAGTTTTGATATGACGGTTGGAGTGTATGTTACATTAATGAGAAACACGAGTGATTGATTATTATTTATCGTATGCAAAAATACTCTTATAATTTTTAGTATCACTTATCTACAAAATATTGTTACACATCTTTGTAAAAAATTGACGTTCTTATTATTCTTACAGTATAAAAATATACAATTTAAATGAAGATTTAACGCAATAAAAAACTACAAAATAGGCAACAATAAATATAAAGCATTTAGTTATGTTCACTTGCACTGCATTTATCAAATGAGTTTTGTAAGAAAACGATATCACTTAGAACTCACCAATCTTTAAATGTGTTCAACACTGCTATTTTTTTTGTCCATAATTAAGAATTTATTTGTCTTTTGTTTCCTTTGAATTTGTTATTTTCTTATACTATTATAAAAAATAGAATACGGGTAATGCTATGTTTCCAGAGGAGCCTTAGAATTTTGGCTATTGTTATCAGATACTAGTTTCTTTTCAGAGGTATTTACTTGAACATTTGGTGATGAACTTCTATCTCTCCCATCCTGATCTTCTAAAAACCTGTCCATAAAGTCAGTAAGACCTGGATGCAACGTATATTTTTTTTTCTCTAATCTAGTTTTATTTGCAAATATATCATGTCTTTCAGATTTTTTCCACAAGTAATAGAACTGTACCAGTTCACCCACTGACCTAGTTCGAACCTGTAATCACATCAGAGAAAAAATTATAGCAAAGTCATAACATGTCATTGGTTTTAGGCTTCTTGGCAGTCAGACAAGCCTGAAAATTAATAGCAGATTCGACAACGGCTGCGAATGCCTTACACAATTTATCAATGTACCTTATTTTGTTGAATTAAATGGAAATTCTTTCCAAAACAACGAACACCTGACTCGAAATTTTTACATTCTTCTTCTGACCAAAGGCTCATATTTTCTGAAGAAGGCATAACATTAATTCGAATTCGTCTTAAGGCCTCTTCGACATTTTGACCACATTGTTGGAGCAAGTATAAGGCCTGTTCGTCATCACGAACTTGTGTACCCATTGGGATAAGAGGTTTATTTAAAGATGAGGCTCTCCTTAAGAAATCTTCTACAACTTCCTCTGATAAAGAATTTGGATCCCACAAAAGTTTATCTTCATTCTCATATGGCAAAGCATCATCATAATGACACAGTCCTTCAGGTATTTGTGCTTGGTAATCACTTCCCACCATAATAGTCTATATAACAAATAAACTATACAAATATGATAGAATGTAATAAATAATGTTTTACAAGTATTTTGTTTCACATGCATGCTTAATAAATAACAACATTAATTTGTTGTGTAAAAAACGTCAATTACTTATTTTCATGCTAAAGAATCACAATTAATGGCAATGAAATGAAAAATGAGAAGAAATGTGTTGCACACATAAAATGTACTAAACAACTAAAATATGCATTGCAATAACATGCACTCTGAAACATTATAGTCAGTACATCTTACATGCAAAAAAAACTGTGACACATGATAATGAATATGAACAGACTAGTAAAACACTCTCAACACTTATAGTAATAAATGATGGGATGAATAACCTTATTAACCTTTCGCCACTCATCTTCATCTGGAGTATAGTCATAATCTTCATCTTCTTCTTCACTTACACGTGAGACTGCTAATAAAAAAAATAACAATTACTATTAACAAAAAAATAAATACACCACTCCAAATTACTATTACTAACATCTTAGCAATCTGGAAGCATCTTGATCATTATCAGGAATATTTTCATACAATGTATGAAGTTTTGATTCTGATTCTGGGGGATCCAGTGATTCACTTTCTTGTTCTTCCATAGTTTCACTTACATCCTGTTCATCTTCTTCTGGACTACCATTTTCTTGAATATCTCTGTATCCATACATTGCTAATAACTCCTCTAAGGGCATATTACTCTCCTTAAAATTAAGCAGAATAAAGTAAATATTTAAAGCTCTTAATCTCCTAAAAGATTAGTTACGTACTTTTTGCAAGTTAGAAAGTTCTGCAACAGGATCTTCTGCTTCTCCTGCAGCAAGAGCTTCTTCTTCTTCTAGAGTCCTTTCGTCATCAAAATCATTTACTAACATATCAATAGACGGATCAAATAATTTATCTTTGTTAGCAGAAGCTGTTTCTGTGTCATCTTTTTTCACAGTGACAACGTCTGCCATGTTACAACACTTTAAACATAACTCTCATAGCAGATGTGCTATCAACAGAGTACCATCTACACAGAAATTGTAATTTTATATTTTTGTTATGCACACATCAAAACTTTAAAAATATATTGGAAAACGCCTTCAGATATCTTCATACGTTTCTATAAAAATACATCTTTCTTCCTTTCGTAACATTTCGTTATTAAACAAAAGAAGTGAGGTTATAAGAATGAAAAATTAGCGCGCCATTTTACAATTACTTACTGGAGGCGCTAAAAATAATTATGTTACAGAACATGCACAATATATTCTTTCACTAATTTTTAAATAAAATTGGTTAACAGACAACACTAAATTATTCCACTTTTTAAAGAACATCAAAGTTTACAAACAACTTCATAAATGGTCACGTGACATTATGGATTTCATAGACAAATGGATGCATTATGGATTTTAAACATCATTGAACATGTTATAGGTTCTATCATAGATGAGGGTTCTATAAAAGATATATTCTATAGATCTTGACTCATAGATCAGATCTTTTTGTTCAAATTTAGACCACGGAGTTATTATCATTATTTAGCATATGTAAATTTATATCTTTATATATATATCTTCCGGGAATTCCCTCTGCTGACTTAAAATCTATGCTTGAAACAATAATTGACGAACATCTTTCGTCTAATGCTATTGTTTATAGATTTAAAGTTTAACAATAGAAATAAAAACAACAAATCA